AAATTGTAATAAAAAAATTACATTTTTTATGGTAATACAAATAAATATGGTTTTTCAGAAGTTGATTTTCTCATTTACTTCTATTTTTGTCAAATTGTTTATATAACTGTTATATTTGAGGTAAAAATATATAAAAAAAAAGTATTCTTTTCACAATTAATTTTAAAAATCTCAATAAATATTACTTTTGACATTATCTATTCATCTCTCAAATGGAATAGAAAGAGATCAATTAAAAATTRTAGAAGATAGTTTGTTTAACAAAAAATTTGAGTATATACACTAAAAGTGCTCAATGAGAGCAATACTTTGATGTATTAAACATATAAAAATCCAAAATAAAAAAGTTTTTTTTAACACTTCAAAATTAAAAAGTATTTCAATTCTTCACTTTTTTCAGTACACATTCCATTGGTCGGATTTAAAAAAAAATTGTTCTAATTAAATTTGGAAAAAATATATTATTTAGTGTACRATAYTTAAATAGTATTTTTAATATTTTAAACTTTAAACATTTAAAGACTGCAGAGAATACCAAAATACAATTAACATTATATTTGTAGATATTTTATTAACCTATTGATCTTCTGATAAAGGCAATAAGTAAATACAATTTTYGTGGGATATTTATTTTCTATATAAATAGGCGTTGAAAKACTAACTGTTGAGGAACAAAGGATTTCTTTTAATTTTAAGTTGAAATATTAAAAACCAACTATAAATTTACTAAATAAGTAACAACACATTAAGGCATGACCTTAATATAATACAGTKCTTAGTTAACTTTGAACAACATTTGATTAAATATTAAACAGAAGTTTACTTAAACAGTAAGAATATTTGAGAAATAAAATATTTTGTCACAAATAATCAAAAACTTATAATTACAGCTTACAACAACTGTGCACTGGAATTTGCTGCTATGTCTAATAACTTCCAAGCAGCTCTTGGATTTACTTCATTTACATCTCTACACATTGCCCAAGTATACATCACTCTGATAACAGTATGAGGATCTCCTTCAATGATTAACCCATTCACGTCTTTAATATACATGATTTGTTGGGCACTAAATGATATAATTAATACAGGACCATGTTCCATTAATTTTCCAGTAACAACATCAACATTATGTACATCTAGAACTTTGCAGTATGTTTGATGACCTTTTTGTCGATGCTCATTAATTGGATGTGATAGTACTCTATAGGGAGCTTCAAAACACCAGTCTTTCAAAATAATAAGATCTTCCCGTGCTATAGCTTCTAGCACATTTGGTATGATATCAGTTTCACACTGACTGATAAATTTTATTAAACTGAAATCAGGTTCAACACGACATAATTCTGTAACTACATCAGACATTTCAGCATTATGAAATAGAGAGGATAAAGTGCCAGTTACTGAACGTGTAGCTCTTGCTAAGACATGGTCACTGTCATCATACTGTTCTTTTAGGTCTGATAATTTTTGCATAAATGCATTTTCGGATTTGAATTTTTTCCAACTTTCGTATATCCTACAACCAAAACAATATTTCATTAATAACATCATTACATTTTAAGAGCTAAAAAATGTACTTTACATTTTAATTTGATAATAATTTTTACTATGATGCTAAGTTTCTAAAATATTATATCTATAGGTATACAAAGGGATAAGCAACTATTTGAGTTATTGGTTTAATTCAATAGATTTTTATAAAACTAATAATATGACTTGAGMAAGGTATTTAATTTAATACCTAAATTCAATTAAACTTCCATACAAAAAAAAAAATATGTTGTATAACACATATTTATGTAAATTTATCTAGCAAATTTCTCATTAATAACAATTTTTTCGGTTGACCATGAGACTTCATGTTAGTAATTTTAAGTTACCATACAGCTATTAACCTTATTTAATATTTTATTCTATAAAATAAA